TATATATATATATATATAATTTTTTTGAAACCAGGTCTTCCTAAGTTGCTAAATTCCCCAAGCTGGCTCAAAGTTGCAACCCTCCTGCCTCAGCCTCCCAGAGTGCTGAAACTACAGGAAGTGACTCTTTAAGCATCCACAGTGTCCAGGGTGGGGATGGCAGGCCCCGTAAATGGGTGCTGTATGCTTCCATTCCACAGGTGAGGACAGCTGAGGCACAGGGAAGCAAAGGAGCCACTCATGGGTGGTACAGGCGAGGGAACAGCACAAAGGTGAAGCTGAACTCTGGTCTGAGAGGCCCTGTATCCTTCCCACCGGGAGCCATGCCGCCTGACATAATCACTGTGTCTCCACAGGTACAAAAATGACATGCGGATTGATCCCCGCCTCTTTTCTGCTGGCAAGTACCGAATTACCAACAACTACGGGCTTCTGTCCCTGGAGATCAGGAGGTGAGAGGAATCCGGAGACCAGTGACGGCAGGCCCCAGCACTGCTGGGCCCGGAGAACTTCCTCCAGGCTTTCCCCCTGAGTTTGCCTCATCTTCAGAAGTATACTGGTGCTTGTTACAATACTGATTCCCAGGTGGGATTCAGACTCAGTAGCCTGGAGCACAGCTGAGAAGAGGTGGGCCACCCCGAGTGACTCAGTCCACCATGGGGCCCCTCAGCTTGCTGACGGGCCCAGATGTGTGCAACACCAATCCTCTTTGGCACTGAGGTATTCCTAGATGGAGCCAGGCCACACTCCCACTAGGAACATGGCAGGGTTGGCCCGGCTGTTGGTGAGATGTAGGCCAGAGACTGACAACTCTTTTGCCTGGAGAGGGTTTGTTACCTTGAGGCTGGATTGAATTCCAGTTGCTGTGTGAGCCAGTCACTTTACTTCTCTGACCCTCCCAAGTCAGTAATGACAGTATAGTGTGACACGGGATATTTTCAAAGTACTTTCCCCTGAGGGCTTCCTGTCATACCATGTTTTCCATCCTAGAGTGAGGCCTGCCTTTCCCATGGGGCCTTGCAGTTCAGGGGCTTCATCCTCTCTCCTTTGCAGATGTACCATGGAGGACTCAGCCACCTACACGGTGAAAGTGAAGAATGCCTACGGCCAGGCCTCCTCCTTCGCCAAAGTCCTTGTCCGAAGTAAGTCTGCCTGTTCCCACCAGGCCAGGCTAGGCCTTAGCAAACCCACCACAAGCAGATGGAGATGTGAGTGTGTGGTCCGATCCAGGGCACAGGCTGCCGAGCCAGGGTTGGGAGGCGGGGTAGCCAGGGAGGCTCGCTCCCCTGGGGCCTCCAGAGCCATGACAGCCTCCTCCTTCAGGCTGGCATGGGCAGCAGACCCAGTGTGGTTGGCTGATAATGTAAGACTGTGAGGCAGGAGCTCTGCCCCAAGGGTAGGGCCCAGGAGCCACCAGGAAAAGGAAGAGGAAGAGGACGGGTCTTTTTTGCGTTCTGGCCCTGTGCCAGGCACACCGACAGCCACTCAGTTCGTCCTGAGCTGGTCTGGACCTTGGCTGTGGCTGAGGTCATCACTGGCTCCCATGGCATCTTTGTGTCGCCAGGGGTGGGAGAATTAGAAAAAGAGGCCTTCCTCCAAGTGGGTGGCCTCCCACACTGGGCCATGTGACTTAACAAGTGGAAAGCAGCCTGGGTTCAGCCCCCAGCTGCCCTTGCAGGGGACACCTTTGCACAGAGCCCAACCTACACAACTGTTCAAGGGGACCCGGCCTGCCTGTGTCCCCTTGTCCCACCTGCTTGGCCCACCAAGTCGGACTTGGGGCCAGATCCAGCCAAAGACCTTGGAAAGGGTTGTCTGGCCTACCACATTCCTAGGCCCAATGCTGCGCCTACCCTCAGGGACCCTGGGAAGTGCATGCGCCTGTGCACACACACACACACACACACACACACACTCACACACACACACTCACACACACTCTCACACCTAGGGCAGCTGTTGTGCTGGGCAGCCCCATCTCTCACGGATCTTGTTAAACTGTCCTTCACTGTCCTCCTCACCCTCAGCCCTGTTCCCCAAATAGCTGTTGGGAGGCAGCTGCCAGGTGGCCTCTCTGAGCAGAAACCTGAGCTGCTCCAGAGGCTGTGCCAAGACTCCAGCCCAAGGTCAGATATGAGGCCCAGAAACCCTCTGCGCCCATCCTGCCCCTCACTTCGACTAGATCTCCACCCCTCCCACCACCAAAGCTAGCCACTAGGGGTTGCACCAGCCAGACTCCGCCACGCCCCTGTGAGGGCGCCCACTCTGCACCTCCTACCTGCTCCCATCCCCTGGGCAACTTCAAGGGCCCCAGTGGAAGCCCCAGGCTGGAAAGCAGGAGCCCTGGGTCCTAATGCTGCCTTCTACTGGCTCCCTGTGCAACTGAGGTGGCCTACTGCCTTCTTTGAGGCTCCCCAAAGAAGGGCCTTTCTGGGGACCGGGGCCACATTATGGCTTTGGGCTGCTGAGGATCACTGGGTGACTCTGCCTCAGTCTCCTCACTTTCATGAGGAGATAATCATGGCGCCCACAGGCAGGGAGGCTGTGAGGAGTGATGGAGCTTAGGTGCAACACACGATAAGCACCATGTGAGCAATTTCATCCCTAAGCCTGTGGGCAGCTGCACCTGCACTGATCCTACTAGAAATCCCAGAGGCTCTGACCAGGCCCCAGTCCTGTGAACAGTGTGATCCTGGAGAGCAGCTGGGACAGAGAAGGAAAATCCACATTTATAGAGAACCTCCTGAGAGCCAGGTTCTAGCTGAGGCCTTTATTCATGTGACCTCTTTCATTCCTAACTAAATACCATTAGGTAGGAATTAATGTCCCTGTTTTATTGATAAAGAAACTGAGGTACACACAAGTAAAGGCAGAAGCCTCTGACAGATAGACTGCCACTGCCCATGCCCCCCAAATGCAGTAGGAATGAGGGGTCCGAGCCCTCTCCAATTCTGTTTGCTTTGCATTTCCAGCTTACCTGGGGAAGGAGGCTGGCTTCGATTCTGAAATCTTTAAAAGTAAGTGGGCTGGGGAGGGATGGGCTTCAGGGAGCAGCGGGCATCTGGGACTCCTTGTTCAGGATTTTGCCTCACATAGTACTTTTCAGAACAGAGCCACCCTTGCTCACAGAGGGCTGTCCCCTCAGGGATGATCTTTACTAGCTGTTGATAATCTAGACTGGCTTCTGAGACCGATGTCAGAGCTGTCCCCAGCTGCTGAGCAGTCCGCTGACCAAAACCCGACTAGAAGGGCAGAAGACAATGGACTTGGCATTGGGCCATTGCTATTCTGGTTTAGAGAAGCCTCCTCCCTTCCAACCCCCCAGGACCAGGCGCTCTTCCTTATCCACCCCACCTCTGGAATCCTGACTGTGAGGGAGGGAGTGCCAGGAGGGTCTTCACTCCCAGCTAGGCCCCTGGCATCTCAGAAGACCCTGATTTCTGTCCCAACACCAGGATCCATGTTTGGCCCCAGTGTGGAATTCACATCGGTGCTGAAGCCCGTCTTTGCCCGTGAGAAGGAGCCTTTCTCCCTGTCCTGCATCTTTTCCGATGATGTGCTACATGCCGAGCAGAACATCCAGTGGTTCCGAGACGGTGAGAACCCTGGTCCTGGCCCCTGGCCCTCCAGTGGCAAACCTCCACCTCCACCCCGAAGCTCAGCTGAGAGGGACGGGAGCCCTGGGTCCACCCCTAACCCTGGGACTTGCATGAGAGTCGGCACTGCCCCTCTAGGCCAGCACTGGCTGCACTGTCTGTGCTAAAGAGAGCTGGGCTGCAGCACAGCCAGGCGGGGTCACCAAGGATCTGCAGGATGCCAGGCCCTGTGCTGGGTCCTGGGCAGTGGTGGGTACAGACAAGAGCTCCAGAAGCTGTCTGCGAGGTAGAAGGAAGCCATCAGCAAATTACAGCTGCTGCCTTGAGTCCTGCCTGTGCACGTGCAGCACTGGCTAGGGCCTCTGCTGCACTGTCACCACCCTAGAGTGAGCAGCAGCACTCACAGCAAGGGGACCAGAGGCCAAGGCAGAGGTCAGGAGAGCCCCACAAGTGCTCAGAGCAGGCTGTGTGGCCTTCACAGGGCTTTTCAGACTCAGTGTGCAGGCGCCTTCTGGGGCTGTCATGGAGCAGCTAGAGCAGGCTGCAGGGCTATGGCGAGAAGAGGCGGGCCCAGGAGGGAAGTAAAAGACAGCCAGGGCTCCTGCCCCATCTGTGAGACAGGCCTGCAGCCAAAGAACAAGGAGTCCTCTCCCTGTAGCACCTCAACTCTGAGTCCAGGGAGGCTGCACCTGCTGGAGGCGGGAGGTGGGGAGAAGCCATAGAACACCAAGAAACACCTGCCATAACAAGCCAGGTAGTTTCCCCAAACCTGTAGATCTTCCAGATTAGAAGTGCTGGAGGAGGGGGAGCCCCTGTCTGCAACAGAGAAGGGATGGCTCACCAAGGTGGCTGGGCAGAGCTACACCTGGGACGCTCCTTGGCAGAACCCAGGAAGTCCCCACACTCAGCTGAGCCTCAGGCTGCAGCTACAGCCACCCTCTCTCTCTTTCCAGTCAGGGCTCCAGACCCCCAGAGCTTCTACAGTTCCCAGGGGAGGCCAGGATCCCCCCACAAGCTCACAATGGAACCCCTTATCCCCTATAGGCAGGGCCCTGAGGTCCTCAGGACACCGGCAAATCCTCTACTCAGACCGCCAGGCATCCCTGAAAGTGTCTTGTGCCCACAAGGAGGACGAGGGGCTGTACAGCATCCGGGTGTCCTCACCCCTCGGGCCCCGAGAACAGAGCACCTATGTATTTGTGAGAGGTGAGGAGTGGAGGGAAGTGGCAGCTGGGACACAGAAACCAGGGCTCTGCAGGTGACTGGCTGTGGGGGCCTTGGCCAGGTCCCCTGAGCTCTTGGCATCTCTGTGTCTCTACTCTAAAATGGGGTGTTGGGGGGCCGGGGATTTAGCTCCATTTCGCTGCACCTGCCTTGCAGGCACAAGGTCCAGAGTTCAATCCCTGGTGCCAAAAAAATAAAATAAAATGGGGTGTTGGGTTATTCTCTCTAAGAACCCCTGTAGCAACCTATGACTCACCAAAAGGACCCAGCCCAGAAGGCCGACTTTAGGGTCAGATGTTTCTGGTCACTGGTTGGGGTTCAGGTCCTGGTTTGGTCACTTCAGTTGCTGGGTGACCATAGTCATGTCTCTTTACCTCTGAAGCTCAGCTTCCCTAGCTACAAAATTGCTCTGGGGCTCAGAAATTAATTATCCCCATTATTCGGGTGCTTGTGGAAAATGGGCCTCTGATAAATGGCACTGTCATCCCCAGATGCTGCTGGTACAGAGGGGTGGTACAGAGGCTATTACTGAGGCCCTGGTCCTCAAGGTCAAAACTGGGCCCCTGGAGGACTCAGGAGAAGCAGATGTTGGCCAGCAGTGGGAGTGGGAGGGGCTGGTTACCAAATGGCCACTGAATCTTCACTACACTCTGGCTTCAGATGCTGCAGCTGAGAAGCCGGGGGCCCCAGGCTCCCCACTGAATGTCCGGTGCCTGAATGTGAGCAGAGACTGCCTCATCCTGACCTGGGCCCCACCCAGCGATACCCGGGGCAACCCCATCACCAGCTACTCCATCGAGCGGTGAGTTGGCCTCTGCAGGGCAGGGCCCCCGGGGTTGGAGTCTGCCTAGCTGTGGGGACAAGAGTGGAGCCACAGGAAAGAGGAGCCCACGCCTGGCCTCGGGGATCCCCCCACCTCCACTGCTGAGAACAGGAAGGCTGACTATGTTGTATGATTTCGGGGTACCCATGCCTCCAAATTGCTGTCACATTGATACCTGGAATTCTGGGGCAACACAGTAAGTGTCTGAAGGTTGAGCACATGTGAATTTGTTTGCTCTTCCCCCATGTCAGACCCAGAAGGAAGGTGTAGTAGGAAGAGGAGAACAGGCCAAGAAGCCCCAACTAGAAAGATTACCTGTTTCTGGCTCCCACAGGGGCTGGCTGGCTGCTGCCCATCCCCAGGTTGCATTAAGGGCGAGGCCTGTCTCATTTCTTCTTTACAATCACCCCTGTTTAAAGGAGAGTGGGGCTTTCTAATGCTGCTTTCTTCAGATGCTGAAACTGAGGTGCCTAGGGAGACAGCTTTACCCAAAGTCACATAGCTCCATTAGTGGTGAAGGCAGTTCCAGACCAGAAAGGCACATGCACTGCCCGACTGCTGAGGACAATGGTACTGATAAAGCACAGAGAGCCAGGCCTGGCGGGTCAATCTAGAAGGTCCATCACTTATGGCAGTGGTGGCCACTTGTTATCACGGTAAGCTCTAAAAGGTTGCCATCACTGGCTTAGGAGGTGGGCAGCCCTCAGGGAAACCCTCAAGGCCTCTGACTCTCTGGCAACAGACGCCCCACTTGGGGGGGCGCCAGCAGTCAACCTGTCTCCTGGGACTACTGAGAGGACGAGACACTGGGACAAAGGACACAGGCCCAGCAGGCAAAACTCCATGAGAGGCACTGGCTGTTCTGATTAGCATGATGTGGACATGGGGAAGAGGCCTCCCGAGACTGGAGCCAGGCTTTTAAATCAGAGAGGACTTTAGTCAGCAGAGAGGAGCCAGGCAGGTGGTCCCAGTCAATCAGTAGCACCTACAGAAGCTCCAACAGGAGGTGTGGCACCGGGGATTTAACTCAGTGGTTCCACCGCCTGCCCCGAAAGCTAAAGGTCCCCAGTTTGATCCCTGGTACCAAAACAACAACAACAACAAAAAAAACAGGAGGTGTGGGGCATAGGCAGGGCCTGAAAGCCAGGGCCTGTCTCCCACAGGTGCCAGGGCAACTCTGAGGAGTGGGTGCCTTGCCATGAGGCCCCTGGGGGCACCTGCCGGTGCCCAATCCAAGGCCTCATCGAAGGCCAGAGCTACCGATTCCGTGTGAGAGCCATCAGTAAGGCAGGCCACAGCCTCCCCTCCAAGGCCTCAGAAGTAGTTGTCATGCGTGACCCTGATGCAGCCCAGAGGAAGACAGGTGAGTACAGAGGCCCTGAAGGGACATTCTAGAGCATCAAGCAGGTTGCACTCAAGACTGCCTCACACAGGAGACAGGTGACAGAGCCCAGCCCTCAGCAAGCCCTAGTCTGATGGAGACACAATCCTGTCTGTACTCTGAGGGGCAGGTTTAGCTAGTCTCCACAAGAGACACTAATCTGAGGGAGGACCACAGCGCCTTCTGTAGATGCCCTGTCTGATGGAGGAGACAGCCCTGCCCTCAGGAGCCCCAGCCCAGGGGAAATGTGGGTGGGGGCGGGCACGGTTCTCTTAGCCATTAGGGTTTACCCTGACTTAGGTTTGCCATTGGCTGCACCATTCCCGCACACATCATGCCTCTCTGTCCCCACTTGCCCCAATAAACAGAGCGTGTCTCAGAGGTTGAACACAACAGGGCTCCACTTTGGACTCCTGAAAAAGCTCAACCCAGACAGCACCTGCCTGAGGTGACAGGGTGAATATAGGCCGTCAGGCCAGGACCAGACAGGCAGGATGTGGGCTGGAGGGGGAGCAGGCCCTGGCTCACCCTTGACTCAGCACCTGCGTGCTCTGTCCTCCTTCCTAGAAATCCCCTTTGATCTGGGCAGCAAGATCACCGTCAGCATGGCCGATTTTGAAGGTAGGCCTAACTTTGCTGAACACTGTGCCCCTAGACACCAGCTCCTGAGAAGTTCTAAAAACTGTGCGACACAGACTGGCACACGAATGCCATCCACCCTTGGGACGCAGGGAGGTGAGGGTAGGAGGGTCTGGTTGGAGGAGGCCTGAGTACTAAGGTCACTGTGGCCCCTTGGTGGAGGAGGTGGTCTGTGGGGAGCCCCTGGACAGGGAGGGTATCAGGAGACCAGGACTCGGCGGGGGGGGCCTGGAGCAAGTTCCTGCTTCTCTCCAGACCCCCGTTCCCTCTTCTGTGAAATGAGGAACTGAGATTAGGGGCTCTCTCATCTCTGTCCCGGATGATTCTGATTCCAGATGCCATGACGACCATCCCCTCGCCCCCAACCAATGTCCATGCCAGCGAGATCCTGGAGTCCTATGTGGTTCTGAGCTGGGAGGAACCAAGGCCCCGGGGCAAAGCCCCACTGACCTATGCCCTGGAGAAGGTAGGAGACCCCAAAGACCAGCCCAGGACAGACAAAAACAGACACACTACGGGATGTGGGTACAAGGAAGTGCAGGGTGCTGAGGAATCCCAGGCAGGGTCCCTAGGGGCCTTCAGAGAAGAGACCAGAATCCCTCCCCGGAAAGGCCTGAGCTCAGCCCCACACAGAGGCAGGGGGTGGACTAAATGGCCTTTTGTGGTCCCCTGAGGCACCAGTTACTTGTGCTAGCAGTTCCTGAGGTTGTCCATAATTACACAAAATTAAGAGGCACAGACAACAATAACATCAATGAGACCTTCCATTTCCTGGGTGCTTCCCTGCTCCAAGTCCCTGGCGTCAGGTCAGACATTGTGTCAAGCACCTCCTCTTGATGAGGCCATGTTGGGAGAGGAGTTGGGCTGGTGCCCACTAGCTAGGGGCGTGCAGGAGGAGGCGGTCCTCACTGGGGACAGACTGGGGAAAGGGGACACCCTGATGGAGATGGGCTGCCCCTGTGGAGTGGGTTCAGCGCAGGGGAGGCAGCATGGAGAGGAAGACAGCATGGGTGTTACGAGCGATTCAACCCAGGCTTCTACTGGGTGATTCCAAGCCAGTTCCCTAACTTCTCTGAGCCTCAGTTTCCTCCATCCCAGAATGGAATACCTAACCAATGAGGGCAAAATAAGAAACAGCACACAGCCAGGCCCGGCATCTGGGGCAGTACATGCCATGCTTCCCACGAGGTGTTCTTGAGTCCTCTTCCTAAAGGCAGAGTCCAAGTTTCTCTGACTCACTGTGCCCACCATGGTGCCTGACACGTGACAGATGACGGTAAAGGTTTGCTGAATAAATGAACTAAACATGGCCAGGGAGGAATCTCTAGCTCTTTTTATCCAAATGGACCCTCTTCTCACATTCACAGGAAATGGACCCTAATTTTCCAATATAGGAAGCCATACATGATTGCAGGTTTGTTCTGGGAGCTGTAGAATACAATGATGACCACCTTGGAGCCAGACTGCCTGGGTCCAACACCTGTCTCTGTCACTACGAGCTGTGTGACCTTGGACAGTTGATTTAGTCTCTCAGAGTCTCCATTTCAATGTTAATAATAATCACAAACGTCTTGTAGGGTTAAAGTGAAGCTCAAATTAAGACATACAAAGACAGAATAGAGCCTGTTCCCAGTGAGCGCTCAGCGGCATTCACTATTCTTTTTTTTTTTTTGGTACTGGGGATCGAACTCAGGACCTTACACTTGTGGGACAGGCACCAGAACCACTGAGCTAAATCCCCAGCCCTGCATTCACTATTATTTATGGTGATTTCTTGACATCTCTGGCCACTGCCAGCCAGTTGGGCTTTGGAAAGGATGGGGGTGGGTTCAGTGCTCCTGGGCTCTGTGCCTCAAGTCCAGACTCAGCAGGAACTGTCCTTGGGTGCCTCATCCCATCACTCGAGGCTGCCCCACATCTGACCAGAGACTCAGAGAGGCAGGTGGCCACCTCAGATCCCTCAGGATGGATGGCATCTTTTAGATCCTCAGGATGAAGAGCCACCTATGGGGACCCTTGTGCTGTGGCAAGTGAACAGGTTGGGAAACAGCCACACCTGAGCTTCAGGACCATATCCAGCCGGTGTTGGGTGTGGGACTTCCGGGCAAGTTACCCAAATGTCTCTAAACCCGATTGTCTTGTGGGTGGGGAAATTAACACCTAGTGTGCAGGGTTACTGTGAGAATTCACCCATTTATTCATCCCATGTGCCAGTACCATTTTTGGCCATGGGGACATGGTATGGGGGGAGGCAACAAGAAAAACAACTAGAATATGAAGTGCATTAGCTCATTAGCTAGCAGTTGGCACTGAGAAGGAAGATGCAAAATGGAGAGGCCTGCTGCATTTTAAATGCTGTGGCAGGAGAGACTCAAGCAAGTTCTGAGTAAAGCAGAGGGAAGAGCACGTGCAGAGGCCCAGACGGGGGACCTGGGCCATCGGTGCATGGCAGGGAGGCACAGGGCTGTGGTGAATGGATGCAGGGGTTGCAGACTGTGGCCAGACAAGTAGCAGGGCTCAGGTCATAGGGAAGAGTTTGCCCCAAGGGAGATGGGGAGTTTGAGAGGCTTCTGAGCAGACAGGGGCTGCTCTGGCTTGTGGTGGCAAGGATCCCTCTGGGAGCCCCTTAAGAAAAGACTAAAAGGGGTTGAAGATAGACTCAAATAATTCAGGTGACAGATAATGCTGGCTTGGGTAGAGGATAGGGTAGGAAGCATGAAGAGTAAAGTCACATTGGATTCTGGATACATTTTCTTTCTTTTCTTTTCTTTTCTTTGCTTTTCTTTGCTTTGCTTTGCTTTGCTTTTCCCAACAGTGGGAATTGAACCCAGGGCCTTTTCACTGAGCTATATTCCCAGCCCTTTTTTGTTTTTTATTTTGAGACAGAGTCTCACTAAGTTATCCAGGATGGGCTAGAATTTAACAATCCTCCTGCCTCAGCCTCCTAAAGTACTGGGATTATAAGCATGCACCACCATGCCTGGTTTGGATATATTTCAAAGGTGGCATGCATTGGATCTCATGGAGCGTATTTGGGGCATGAGGGAAAGAGCCATGGCTGGCTCCCAGGGTCTGGGCCTGAGCCACTGGAAGTGGGGGTGCCATTAACACACTGTGGTAGCAGGGGTGTAAGGAGTCCCAGGGCTGAGTGCTAGACAGGCTACAGGTGAGGGGCTCAGGAGAAAGGTGGAGGAAGCAGATGGACCAGGGCTCAGGGGCAGCCTTCTGGGGAGAAGATCATGAAAGCAGTGTGGTGAGACCTCACCCAGCTACAGCTCAGCTGATGCCAGTTCCTTTTTCCCTCCAGTCGGTCATAGGCAGTGGTACCTGGGAGGCCATCAGCTCAGAAAACCCAGTGAAATCGCCAAGGTTCGCCCTCCTGAACCTGGAAAAAGGGAAGTCATACGTCTTCAGAGTGCGGGCCATGAACCAATATGGCATGAGTGACCCCTCAGAGCCCAGCAAGCCCGTCGCCCTGAGAGGCAAGACAGGTACTATGTGACGCAGCCAGAGGGGAATGAAGCCAGGAGGAATAGAAGGAGAAAAGAAAAATGAAGTAGGTCAAGAAAAAATATTAGAGAAGCCCCACATTTGTACCAAAAGGAAGATGGGTATCCAACAAATGATGTGTAAGGAATTTGAAATGTAAAGAGTCTACGGCCATTCCACCCTGAACGTGCCCGATCTCGTCTGAGATGTAAAGAAAGGACTAGAAAGATTGTGAACCTGACTTCCAACCATCCAGTCTTCCAGCCATCCAACCAACCATTCATCCAACCATCATCTATCCAACAAATCATCCATCCATTCATCCATCTATCAGTCCATTCATCCAACCAGCTATCCATCCACTCATCTACCCATCCAACCATTCAAGCAGCCATCCATCTATCCATTGACAAATCATGGCAGCCCCAAGTCAAGGAGCTTAGTATCAGGGAACCATGAAAATCAATAGGGAAATTTCAAGGAAAGAAAATCAAATTTCTTGAGATTAAAGGTAAGGACTGAGGAAAGCTGTCAGATTTGACCACTTCTGAGAGAGATTGTAAGACTCAGTGAGGGAGGGCTTTGGTGTTTGAGTGAAGAAGCGGAGATGGATCATTGTGGGCCTCCTCCCTGTCTCTCCCACACCACCACCCCCAGCCTGTCAGGACCTTAACTCAGTGTCTCTCTCCTACATTTCTGTTTTTCAGCTACTCTGCCTCCTCCAGCTCAAGTTCAAGCTTTCCGAGACACGCAGACCTCTGTGTTCCTGACCTGGGATCCTGTGAATGGTGGCGCTGAGCTCCTGGGATATTACATCTACTCCCGGGAGGCAGGGTCATCTGAGTGGCAGACGGTCAACAACAAACCCATCCAGGGCAGCAGGTGAGTCTGTGCCACCCCATCCACAGCAGGCATCCAGCCCACCATGTCATAGCTATACTCGAAGCTGGGCCCTGCTCTAAGTTCTCACGTTAGGTCTTCCAGCTCTTACTGCAGTCCTGAGTTTGAATGATTTGGGGGGATTGTCTTTGTTTGTTTGTTCTTATGGTATTAAGGATTGAACCTAGGGCCTTCATACTGAGCCACATCGCTAACCTTCCTCCCTCCTTTATTCTTTGAGACCAATTCTCACTAAAACACTAAATTCCCCAGACTGGGCTCAAACTTATGATCCTCCTGCCTCAGCTTCCCAGAGTGCTGGGATTATAGACATGGGCCACCACGCACAGTTAGGATGATTGAGTTTATGATCATTTTACAGAGGGAGGAACTAAGGCACAGAAAGATTAAGCATCTTGCCAGAAATCCCATAGCTGGAAAAAGAGGAACAGGGGTTGGCCCCAGATGGTCTCTTTTGACACACATTTGCTGAGGGATAGAGGTGACCGTGGACTTGGAGGAGCCCCCTCCAGAACAGATCTGCTACAGGAAAATGTGGATAAGGGAAAAGGGAGAAAGAAGCCCACAATTCGAGCTTCATCACAAAGGACAGGAAGAGAAGGATGATTTTCTCTAAACCAGGGTGTCCTTGTATGTCTCTGGGTGACAGTTCATTCTGAGGTCTTTAAAAGGACTCACAGCACTATTGCAGATTATAACAGCCGCTTGTTCTTTTTCCAGATCAAAACCCAAACCTCGGAAGATGTGCATGTAGCACTGGGTCAAGGGTGGGCAGCCTTGACCTTAAACTGGTAACTTTTGCAGTGTACAGTATTTGCACTTTGACAATGGTCCTTAGAAGAGCAGGCATCCTTGACAACCTTAAGGACAACATCCACTGTAGGACCATTTTAGGCATTGCTATGGGATTGGGGCAGTATTTTTGGGAAATAACTCGCCCAAAACCCCCAGATCCCATCACACTAGTAACTGCTTAGCCCGTAATGTTCAGGAAGTCTCTACACTTTTTGGCCATCCCTGAAGGCTGTACTTTTCTCTCCCAGGTTTACAGTTCCAGGGCTGAGGACGGGGAAGGAGTATGAGTTTTGCATCAGGTCTGTCAGTGAGGCCGGCGTGGGTGAGAGCTCAGCCCCCACGGAGCCCATCAGGGCCAAGCAGGCACTGGGTGAGTACCCAGCAGGTTCAGTCCGTGACTCTCTGAGGCATCCTGGGCTTGGTGGAGCCGGGCTCTGGGCCACACCAGACCCAGGTGCCCTCTGGGGAAGATGCTGCTGGCTCAGAGTGGACCCCCTGGGGCAGGGTGGGCACCCACCAGGGGAGGCTCACGGCCTGCCCAGTCCCACCACCCCTGGGAGCAGCTGCCTGCCTCCTCAACTCCCGCAGCAACCCCGTCAGCCCCATATGATTTTGCCCTCCTGCACTGCGGGAAGAATGAAATGGTCATCGGATGGAAATCCCCCAAGCATCGTGGAGGAGGCAAGATCCTGGGCTACTACCTAGACCAGCATGACTCAGAGGAGCCAGACTGGCACCCTGTCAACCAGCAGCCAGTCCCCAGCCGGGTCTGCAAGGTGAGTGGAGTGTGGCCATGGGCTCATGTCACTGCTATGTGGGCAAGGGGACACAGAGGGCACTGAGTGAGGCCTCAAGGCACTTGTGTGGATTCAGGTTCCCCTGCCCCCACCATCCAGCTGAGTTCAAGGCCAGACCTTTTCCACGGCCCCGTTTAAAGCCTCTAAGAAGCAGGTGTGGTGGCACACACCTGTAATTGCACCCCCCGTGAGAGGCTGAGGCAGGAGGTTTGTGAGTTTGAGCTCAGCCTGGGCGACTTAACACTTTACCAAGACCCTGACTCAAAATAAAAATAAATAAATAAATAGAAAGGGCTGGGAATGGAGCTCAGTGCAAAGGCCCCAGATTCAATTCCCAGTACTGGAGAGGGGAACCCCTGAGGACTACACGTGTGTACACACATGCACACACACATACACGTGTGCGCGCGCGCACACACACACACACACACACACCAGCTCTTCCCCAGCTACAGCCATCCTGATCTATCTTTCCACTCCTCCAGGTCAGCAACCTTCATGAAGGCCACTTCTATGAGTTCCGTGCCCGGGCAGCAAACTGGGCAGGTGTTGGTGAGCTGTCAGCCCCCAGCAGCCTATTTGAGTGCAAAGAGTGGACGATGCCCCAGCCAGGTGAGGCCCAAGGGCTGCAGCGCAGTCTGCCCTGCCTGTCCTCCCCACCTCGAACCAGAGAGACGAACAGCATGGCGGCCCCTGTGTGTTCAGTCTCACTCAGTTGGTCTGGGCCCAGACCCCGCCCCTTCCACAGACTAACCCTGAAATCCCTGATGCAGCCTGTCCTGAGCCTGCCAAAGACATCCCCTGACTGGCCACCTCCTGGCCCTTCACCCCAGCACCAACCATCCCCAACTCAATGCACCATCCCAGCTCTGATTCTGCCCACAGCCCCATCATGAATCCCGAGGCAAGGGTGGCCAACTCATCCAACCTGGGTCCACCCAGGACTTACCCAATTTACCACTGAAGGTTGTACATTCCAGAAGTCCCCTCAGCGGGGGCCTGACACACTGCTACAACAACCCCATTAGCATGCTCCCCTCAGCTCAGTGAGCCCCTCACCTCCCCCACGGAAGGAACAGTCACAGTGTTTTCTGCATAAAACCTTCACCTGGAGGCAGGTAATTACAAAATGTGGTGCTTTCAGGGGCAATAATTATGACCAGCTAATATTTATCAAGTATTGACTACATACCAGACACTTTCCACAAATATTCTCGCTAATGCTCACAACAGCACTGTGAGGACTGTTATCATCCTTGTTTTCCAGGTGAGGAAACAGGAGTGTGGAGGTTAAGTAACTCATCCAGAGTCACCCTTGCTGCAAAGGAAGGCTGGGGACCTGAACCCTGGCAGTCTGGCTCTGGAGGTCACACCTCAGCCCCTACACTAAACACTGAAATGGCAAGAATGTTCGAAGGATTTGAGGGGATGGTCAGGAAAGCCACCAGAAAGAGGTGACACTGAGTGCATTTTGAAGAGTGAACCCTACTTCAGGTGCTGGAGCCAGCTTTGTCACAAAGCCAAGGCCGCCCAGGTCCCCGCCATGCCCGGAGCAGGGCTTCCAGGCTTGGCGGTGACCAACAGATTGACCAGCTTGCTGACTGACTCCACAGCCCTCTGCCCAGCCCCCCATCTCTGCCATCCCTCACCCCCACAGGGCCCCCGTATGATGTGCAGGTGTCCGAAGTGCGGGCCACCTCCCTGATGCTGCAATGGGAGCCCCCAGTATACACAGGGGCTGGGCCAGTCACCGGCTACCGCATCAGTTTCCAGGAGGAAGGCTCTGAGGAGTGGAAGCAGATCACCCCACACTCCATCTCTGACACCCACTTCAGGGTAAGTTCCTGCCTCTTCATCTTCTAACCAGCCCTTAGCCTTTCCTGCCACTGGACACGGCAGAACTACCAAACACTCAAGCTGCTACAACCCTCAGAGAGCACTTCCTTATCTTATTGGCCACACAGGACCAGAGAGGGAGAGCCACTTAACCAGGGCCACACAGCAAGTTGGCAGTAGGTCTGGCTGGCTGGTGGCCTTACTCAGTTCTGTACTGGACAAACTCCTCCCTAAAAATCTCACTCCAGTGAGCCTGTTATTTCAGCATTTAGATATGCATATCCCTCAACTCAGGAAGTCTATCCCTAGGGTTGAATTGTAGAGAAAGAATGTGCAAAGACCTAAGGATAGTGATAGTCATTGCAGCATTGTGGCAAAAGCTGGAAACAACTTCAATGTCTCCCAGAAGGAGTTTGCTGAAATAAATCATAGTGCATCTTTCATGTGGAAACCTGTGCCAGGTAGCGCAAGGCATAAGAAGTGGCAGTAGTGTGAAGGATGAAGTAGACCTTCGTGTGTTCCCATGAAAATACACCAGTCATATGCAGGTAAGAAAGACAAAGCACTCCTGCCTCGCAAGCGCAAGGACCCGAGTTCGATACTCGGTACCAAAAAAAAAAAAAAGAAATACAAAGCAGAAGAGTAGGATATTTACATGTTTAAATAGCACATTATCTATCATGTTATCTATATTACATAGAGAAAAACATTTGCAGATAAATGTTTCTGGATAAATAAGAACTGTGGTAGAGGAACCAGGGATTTAGCTCAGTGGTGCCACCGCCTGCCTCACAAGCACAAGGTCCCAAGTTCCATCCCCGGTACAAAAAAAAAGTCAAAAAAAAAGAAAAGAAATGTGGTAGAATCATTGGTTATGATCACTGTGTTTACTGTGGTTTTAACTTTACACACACACACAAGAGGAAAGGAACACTCCTCTCCCCTCATGACAAAGATGATCACAAATATTTATCTAAGTCAGAAAACTAAGGTGTCATTGTATCACTATCAGCAGGCACAAGTCCCTCACTTACAGACTTCAGGTCACTGGTGGTCACTTTTACAGGCCGCGGTCTCCATCCCCTGAAGCTAGTGGGGCGGGGCGGGGGGGCTTTCCTATTTAGGGAACGTGTGCAAGGACAGTGCACTATTTCATTTTCTACAGCTCTAGGGAAAGATGGACTACTTCCTCCAATCCACTTTCCCGAGGCATCTTTCCCCAAGTGCAGGAGGAGGTACAATTGTCTCACACACACACACACACACACACCTGTAAAGGGGATGGAATCCAGTGCCTTCCTGCTGAGCTACATCTCTAGCCCTTTTTTATTTTCAGAAAGGATCTTGCTAAGTCACTAAGTTGCACAGGCTGGGCTCTAACTAGTGATCCTCCTGCCTCAGCCTCCCAGAGCTCTAGGATTATAAGCATATACCACAACACCTGGATGTCAGGAGCATTCTTTAGCCTTCCATGACAGTGCACAAGGAAAGAAGATAGGCTTGGGAAGCCCACAGTAATGTGGAAAGAATAAGATACCAACAAAGAGAATATAATGCCAACCATATTTCTACCAAATCTAAATTGATTTTCACCATCCTGTTTATGCTGGTCCTCTCTGGAGCTGGGGAACTCAAAGAGGGCTTTAATCCTTCACTTCATATCCTTCTCTGCTGCTTTAAAAACTTCCCTTGCCAGGGATTTAGCTCAGTGGTTCTGCCACCTGCCTCAAAAGCACAAGCTCCCGAGTTTGATCCCCAGTACCAAAATAAATAAATAAATAAATAAATAAATAAATAAATAAATAAAATAAAAAGAAAAGAAAACCTTCCCAATTTCTTTTATAATCAGAAACAACTGAAATGCTTTAATCTTGTAAAAATGCAACAGCCCACCTGAGACAAAGTGAGAGAAGAAAAGCATCCAAAGGCAGAGTCCTCTGAGATTCCCCGGGGCCAGTCCGCAGCAGTGCAGTTGGCCAGTGCTGGACAGCTAGCCCAAGAGGGCCGCACGGGGTGGACGGTCCCTCCACTTTCCTATGGGTGAGCCCAGGCCAGGACATGACTTGGCACCAGTGTCCACATGGGTATGGTTGGCTGCCACTCAGTCATTCACTAAGTACTTCCTGACATCTACTCACCGCCAGGTCTGGACGGGGTCCTAGACATGAAAGGCTAAACAAGCAACAGCCACTGGGGAACAGCGCTTACAGTGCGGTGTGATGAATGCAGCCGTTGAGGGAGGTCAGGTGTGCCTGGAGCTCACAGGAGGGTCAGAGCCACATCCCAGGATCCTCCATCTGCCCCAGCTGAGTGGTACATGAAGCCCGAGCTGGGGTCTGTCAGACCAAGAAGGAGGCACAGTGATCCCGGCAGAGGGCTCCACAAGGACAAAGACAGGGCAGCAGGAAATGATTCCCTGACCATGGAGACCCCGAAGGAGCCATGGCGTGAAGGGGGCTACACAGGAGTGAGAGTGATACAGTTGAGTGGGCCAAATTAGTCCGGGTTCTCGAGCACGACAAGGAACGAATTGCCAAGGGCATACCTTGTGGTATGGTATGTAGTAAGTTTACTAAAGATCGAGGGGCAGCAGCAGGAGCAGGCAGAAGGGCAAAAAAGGGCTTTTGTGACTCGGGCTCCCAGGGTCTATAGGGTCAGATTCCACTGGTCCTAGGGGGCTCTCACTCTCTTTTCTGATGTCAGTAATGTGCACAACCTCCTAAATTTAAACCTGAGTAATCGCTAGGGTGGTCTTGTGTTTCTGGGTGAATGGAGAGAAGGGAGGTGGCTCACACACCTTCCCTGGTTTAGGATTATGGAAGATGGAGAACCCTTGGGGGTGTTGTGATGTTTACAGCTGAATGAAGGAAAGGAGAGACTCAGCTCCTTCACTTCCAACTGTATTAAGAGGGCGGAAGGTTAAGGTAGATTAGAAGACTTTAGGTTCTAAACATCGAAACGTGACTTTGACTCTGAAAGTCACTAAAAGATTAAAGCATAGTCAGATTGACAGAGGGAAAACCATACTGGAGAAGGGTCCAGAGGCAGAAACACCATTTAGGAAACTTGAACCAATCCAAGTAAGAAGGAATCAAAAGCTTCGATCAAGCCGTGGCCTTGAAATGGAGGGGAAGGCCAAGTTCAGGAAACATAAGGGAAATAAAATGGGCAGAACTTAGTGATTGGATAAGGAAGGTTCAAGAAAAGAACATGCAAGCTGGCCGTAGTGGTGCACACCTGTAATCTCAGCACTCAGGAGGCTGAGGCAGGAGGATAGCCTCAACTTTGAGGCCAGCCTAAGCTATATAGTGAGTTTAAAGCCAGCCTGAACTACATAGTGAGAGCTTGTCTCAAAAAAAGAGAACATCCAAAATTATGATCCCAGGCCTGCCTCTGGCTGCTGGAGGGGAGAGGGTGAGAGAAGGACAGAGGGAGTGACAAGGGACACAGGAACAGACAGTCTTGTTGGCAGGAGGAGGCTGAGTTAAGCTTCAAGCGGGAGGACCAGGAATTTAGCTCAGTGGTTCCAGAGCCTGCCCCAAAAGTGCAAGGTCCCGAGTTTGAGCCCATGTACCAAAAAACACCAAAAACACAAACAAAGCTTCAAGCAGGTTCCAGGTGCCAGTGCCTGAGAAGTAAACAGAAAGAAGCTCATTACAAATCTGGAACTCAGAGGCTGATGTAGTGGTGAATATCCATAATTCCAGCACTTCTAGGAGGCTGAGGCAGGAGAATTGCAAGATAGAGCCCAGCTTGGGCAACTCAGCAACTTGGCAAGACCCTGTCTCAAAAAAAAAAAAATACTGAGGATGTTGCAAAGGCCCTAGGTTCAATCCCCAGTACCGCAAAACTCAAATTTTTAAAAGCTTTTTAAAAATTTGGAACTCAGGAGGGAAATGTGTTCCGTTCCTGCCCCCAGGCCCCAGGGCAGTCTGTGCTTGTTCCTGTGCCCTGGCCAAGGCCAGGGACCTTTGCTGTCCTCAGTGTCGGCTTTCGCCCCGCCCCCAGGTGTCTGACCTGCAGACCGGGAAGAGATATGTGTTCCAGGTACAGGCCATGAATTCAGCAGGGCTGGGACAACCGTCGATGCCCACTGACCCTGTGCTCCTGGAGGACAAGCCAGGTAGGGTGGCCTGGGGATGCCAGCACTCCAGTGCTGGGCTCTCCATCGACCACGGCGGGGCTCGCAGGACACTGAGAGAAGCATGCAGATCGTGGCAGAGCACAGTGTGTGGGGCCTTCCCCACCTGCTCCGGCCTGCAGCTTCCTCCACCTCTTGTCTTCCACCCCCATTGGTCTCTCTCCTGGTCCCCAGGCCCAAGCAGGTTCTATGGAACCCAAGATGGGAATGTCCATCTTACATAGGATCGATGGCCTCTTCCGTTCTTCCCCATGCTAACCATCAGCTCCTACAGCTCCTTATAGACCATAAATGACCCCACCACAGCTCTGCCTGTCTTGCAGTCCAAGCTCCTGAGGTCCCTCCTACTACACCTGCCAGAGGCTATGCTGGGGCCTCACACACACATCAGAACTGACTTTGTCACAGCTCAGAGAGGTTCAACAGCCGGGGCACACAGCCAGCATTGTTCAGCTCCCCCAACTAGGATGCACATTCTTTCCATTTTTTTTTCTATCATTCATTCAACATCATTTGTGGTGCCCACATCTCACTGAGGATACAGCAGCAAATGAGAAAGCAGGTCCAGCTCTGTGAATAACAGGAGGAAGTCACAAGGAGTGGACAGACATGAGAAAGTAAACTGCCCTGTGGAGACAGTGATGTAAGACAGTGATGGATGCCACAGAGGAAATAAAACATGGTTCGATGGTAGGCGGGAAACTTTAGCCAGGGCAATCCAGGAAGGCTTCTCAGAGGAGGTGACATTTGAGCTGAGAAAGAGCCAGGTCATGCAAGGCCTTGCAGGCCACATTTAGGAGTCTGGGTTCATACTGTTACTCAGTGCAAGGCCGCCAAGGGAGGGTCTAAGCATGGGAGGGGCATGGCCCCTTTACTATTTACAAACATCTGGTGCCCGGCGCTGGATCTCATCCCCAGATGCCCATAAGATCGAGGTTGGTGTGGATGAAGAAGGCCAGATCTACTTGGCTTTCGAAGCCCCGGAGGCCCCCGATGACTCAGAGTTTCAGTGGTCCAAAGACTACCAGGGTCCGCCGGACCCCCAGAGGGTTCAGGTCCAGGATGAAGCGAACAAGTGAGTGGGGCAGGAAGGAGGCACAGCTGCTCACTCACAGGACCTGAGTACCATGGGGGCACAGGGCTGGGGTGTGAGGCCCAGAGTGGGGGCAAAGACAGGCTGAACTCGGCTGCCTGCTCCTCCTTGAGAACAGGGGGAAGCAAGGGGAGAGGGTGATTTAAAAGGTTCTTTTTCCATAAGGAATTGCCCTACCTCTGCATCAGAGCCTCCAAGAAGACTCCTGTGGGGTCCAGTGAGTTGCTCTTGCAGTTCTCTGGACTCAGCTTCCACATTGAAGGGTTGGACCCCTTGACCACAAGGCCCCTTCCAGGCCCCAAGTCTCACTCATCCTCCCCTGCCGAAAATAAAGCCGACCCTGAAAACCCTGGAGGAAGACAGGGCAGCACAGCTGGGTCTGGCAGACCCTGTGCCACAGAGCCTGGCTAATGGGCCAGCGCAGGTGCCAGGCCAGAGGAGGCCCCAAGGAAGGGCAAGGAGGCAGCCACCCTGCTTCCCACCTTGGCTGGGGTCTGGGATGGTTCAGGCCACCAAATTCCAGACCCTGCAGCTCCCAGACCTCCCTTGCACAAGGCGAAAGAGCCCCTCAGAGCCTCCTCTCCCCTCTGTCTGCCAGGTCCAAGGTCATCCTGAAAGAACCTGACCTTCAGGATTTGGGCACCTACACAGTGGTAGTCACCGATGCTGATGAAGACATCTCTGCAAGCCACACACTGACGGAGGAGGGTAAGGGCCCCACTCCCCACCGCCTCCCCCGGAGACAGACCCCAGTCCACAGTCCAGACACAAATGCCCATCACGGCCAGCAGGGAGCAGCCCTCAGCCCCCATGCCTTCATTCAGTCAATCTATAAACACCTAATGCACACCTGCCGTGTGCCAGGTTCTGTCTTGGGCCCTGGGGATTACACCAGGATTCCAAAAATCCCTGCCTGGTTGAATTCACATTCTCCTGATCTTTCATTTTCCCACTTTTGATAAAAGCAAATTTTCCAGAATTGTCTTATTTCCTTCTTTAGCTTAAGAAAACTGAGAGCGCAAGGGCAATAATAAATTGCAAATAGCAGTTATTGTGAGAAAGGAGGATGAGAGGAGAGAGTGGTCCGGACTGTGGTAACCAGAGATTAGGTGCCAAGTCTGAAGGCTCTGCCATGTTTGATGAATTCACACTCCAGACTCATGAGACTCTCTCTGCTGTCTCCATAGCAACAGGGACAGCCTGTACCCATCATTTCCCCTACTCATTGCCCTTGGATTTTGCCAAGAAGCAAAGGCCAGAGAAACTGAGTTACAATTCCAGTTCTCAATTTCCTGGCTACTTGACCTTGGGCAAGTCATGTTGATCTAAGGTTGATATAGGGGATATAGATGTAACTCTCAACCTCTTTGATGTCTGATAATGAATTCTAGGAACAAGGGAAGTTAAGAGTAGGAAATATTTATTGAGGGATAGACAGCTCCTGCCTGAGAGGAACAGGAAGGGCCCCAGAAAGTGGGTTGCCAGAGTCCACTAATGAGGAAGGCTTTATAGAGCAAAGTCACAAGGTGGGTACAAGGTGAGACAAAACTATGATCAGTCAATAAGCTTACAAGTAGAGTCACTTAGGTAACATTGATCCAGTGGGAAGCAAGTCACGTAGCAAGTGTACCTGGAAAGAACAAGGACCTTTCCTGGAAGGGATGGGTCAGGAGGTCTTGGTCCCCCACCCAAGGTGACCGATGCCTATTTAGAGTATCAGTCATTATTGTTTATCCCTTGGGGAAGTGTGTATGTGTAGTCATTTCATCTTTATCTTGAGGCCAGCCATAGCTGTGATGTGTTCTCATCCTCTCATCCACTGACTTCTTCAGGGGCCTACCCCTGTCTGACTGCCTATATTTCTAACTAACTTAGCTGTCTACAATAATGTCACCTCTTGTCCCTCCGTTTCCTCATCTGTAAAGGGCAACTGTAATCCCTGGATGCTCCCTCTGAAACAGTGTTGTTATACAGATACAAACCGATGATTCTGTCCAAACCTAAGCCATCCTCAAAAATGATGGGTTTTTTGTTGTTTCGATGGATGCTCTCCTTGCATCCAGATTCACTAGGCTAAGGACTCTGGGCTTTGTCAGGGAAAATGAGCTATGAGCTCTGACCCTGCCAGTTCATCCCTGAACACACATTTGTTGAGCACTTACTGTGTACCAGACACTCACATCCATCCAGAGCTCAGCTCAGCAGGAGGGACAGACCTAACAGAGGCAGTGAGCAGGTGTGGCAGCAGCTCTGTGCTGGGCACCCTGGAGACTTCTGCCCCTGAGAGCTCAGCATGTGAACACCTAGGACCCTCGGGCACCAGGGCAGGATGTTATCTTGGTTACCAGGCCCTGTGGGCCTGGAGTGGCCAGCAGTGGCCAGGGTGCTCAGCCCACAGCACTGTGCGACACCTATGAGATCATGCACAGCCCAGCACACCATAAGTGCTTGTCTAGGCAGTGGAGTTTGGTGCAGGCCTTGAAGGACAAGAAAGATGTGCAATCTCAGGGCAGCTATTAGTGGCCCCAGTATGTCCTTCCTCGGTGCCTCAGAGCAAGGCCCTGTTCTTACATCTTCAGCCCCTGTGCTGCAGGTGATTCCAAAGAGGAGGGCGAAGAGGGGTCTCTCAGGACTCACCCAGCATGGGACCCTAGGACAGCTGTAATGGTCTCCCAAGGCCCAGATATTTCCTCCTCAACTTTCTTCTTTGTCCTTCCCTGCCAGAGCTGGACAAGCTGAAGAAGTTGAGCCACGAGATCAGAAACCCAGGTAAGCATTAAAACTGCTGGCCTTGTGCAGCTGCTAAGGGGCCAGGAAATATCCAGAGCAGAGGAGGGCCAGGAAATAACCCCAAGGCAGAGAGTGGGGGAGCCAGAGGCCTGGAGGTCAGAGACCAGAAAAGCCCACAGAGGGAAAAGGGCAGCCAGTGGGAGCCAAGGACACACAAGGAGGGAAAGGCCATATCCTTTCTTTTCCTAATTATAGTTATTGGCTCTTCAGTCATTTAAACTTTGGACCATCTAATCCTTCACTTCCCTCCTTTGGCTGAGGGTACTATGTGCAGTCCTGGAGTCAAGGCCACAAACTTGGCCACACTTTGGAGTTACCCCCGGAGCAAGATTCCCGAACCACACCCTAGACAAATCAAAATCACTGGGGGTAGAGCCCAGATATCAGTGGTTTTTGCTTTTTGCTTTTTTTTGGGGGGGGGGGTCTGTTTGTTTTGTTCTCAAGTTTTTTTAGCTGGTTGGTTTGATTTGGTTTGGTTCAGTTTGGTTTTTTTGAGACAGGTCTCACTATGCAATTCAGGCTGGCCGTGAACTTACTATGTATCCCAGACCGGCCTCAAACTTGCTGTGATCCTCCTGCTTCAGCCTCTTCAGTGCTGGGATTACAGATGTGTGCCCCCACGCCTGGCACAAGTGCTTTTGAAAGTCCTCTGGGATCCAGTACTCAGCCAGCTTGACAACCACAGCCCCAGAGCCCTAGAAGGGGAGAAGCTTCACTGAGATCAGTTAAATCCAGAGCCACCATACAGAAAGCTCCTCAGCTCCCACCCCGGCCAGCGACCTTAGGCTCCCAGTACCTCACATGTCAAGTGCCCACCATGGGTCCAGGTGGGGCTAGCAGGGAGGAAAGCAGAGGGACCCACCTGTGCCCTTCCCAACCTGTGCCTTCCAGTGATCAAACTGATCTCCGGCTGGAACATTGACATCCTGGAGCAAGGAGAGGTGCGGCTGTGGCTGGAAGTAGAAAAGCTATCTCCAGCTGCTGAGCTGCACCTCATCTTCAATGAGAAGGAGATCTTCAGCTCGCCGGTAATCGGTGCTCACGATCCCTCAGGAGCCTCCCCTGCTCGGAGGTGGCCTCCCCTGACTGTGGTTCTCCCCACAGTGGGCATTCAAAGATGGCTTCGTGCCGGGGCAGTCCCAGGTGGGGCGGGGTGGGAACACCTGGCTTTTAGTACATGGGGAGTGGGGCAGGATGCTGGATGCTAGGCAACACAAAGGGCATTTCCACAAAGACTTTTTCACGCCTCTACATTCCAATCTCCCACCAGACATTCTTCAGGTGGACGACCTGTACTCATGCTTATAAGTATCCAAGCCTAGCCCCTAACTCTGCTTTAGGCATAAATACAAAGTGCTCTTGCACAAGCCTAATGTACACTCAATAGAGAGTTTTTATCCTGTCGGCCACTCTTCTTGTGCTCATTCACTCATTTTCCTGTTCTTGGACAGAATACCTTCCAATCTTTTTACTTTTCTTAAGTTCAAACCAGCTCATTAAATTAGCATAGCATGCGTGAGATTTTTGTCCAAGCATCTACGTAGTAAAATACATATTATTTTATTTGAAGTGATTTTTAATTCTTCCTATTACAGTGAGAGTATTATTTTTATTTTCATTTTTTTTAATATTTTCACTCACAGGCAGACAGGTTTTGTTAGATTGAGCCATATGTTATTGGTGTTCAGTTCCTTTGACTTGCAAACATGGCGATTGCAATATCATGAAAGCTTCAAGCTCAGGATGCAATGTCACATTGTTTGTGAATTTCATCTCCAGGTAGCAAATCCGCCATCAGAGAACATGGGTTGGGGGACTAGGGGCATAGCTGAGTGGTAGAGAATGGATTTGGAATGAGGAAGATCCTGGGTTCAATCCCCAGAACAAAGAAAAAGAAAGACAGACAGACAGACACAGAGAGATAGAGATGGCGAGAGAGGGAAGGAGGGAGAGAGAAAGAGAGAAATTAGATCATTCCATCAAATCACATATACAAATAAAATCAGAAGAAGTAAAGAACTAAAGGAGGAAAATGAAAGTTTTTAAACTGTTGGAATGTAGCAAAATGTAAATGAGAGTTAGTTCTGGGTAGCAGTATACAGGTGTTTTTATATTATCTTTTATGGGGCCGGGGATTTAGCTCAGTGGTTCCGCTGCCTGCTCGGCAAGCACAAGGATCCGAGTTCAATCCCAGGTACCAAAAAAAAAAAAAAAAAAACACAAGAGAATATTTTAGGGGCTGGGGATTTAGCTCAGTGGTTCTGACGCCTGCCTTGCAAGCACAAGGTCCCAAGTTTGATCCCCGGTACCAAAAATAAAAAAATAAAATATATTATCTTTTATGGTAGCCTCCATATACTTTTCTTTCTATGAAATTCTAGAAGAAGGGAATGAAGCCGGGGATTTAGCTCAGTGGCTCTGCAGCCTGCCTCCCAAGCTCATGGACCTGAGTTCGATCCCTGGTACCTAAATAAATAAATAAATAAATAAGAAGGATATAACCAACAATGAGACACAGTGGGGGGGTTATTATTACATGTGATTGATTCAAGCACCCAGGACGTGTTCTGGGGGCCCAGTAGCTGGGGTGCCCCAGTCTACACTGGCAGAATAGGGTTACCCTGGCTGGTTCCCACTTTTTGAACGATGACACCTCTTCGAATTTCACACCCCCCTCCCAAAGTTCAACTCCACCCTGAGGTGTGGCCCACAACCTGTTCCCAAGACAGGAAACATGACAAAAGGACTTGGGCTTGTTCTCCCCAGAACCGCAAAATCAACTTTGACCGTGAGAAGGGCCTGGTGGAAGTGATCATCCAGCACCTATCTGAGGATGACAAAGGGTCCTACACTGCTCAGCTCCAAGATGGAAAAGCCAAAAACCAGATCACCCTGGCCCTGGTGGATGACGGTCAGCCCCGCCCACCTGCATCAGGCCCCTGTCCCCAGCCTTCCTGCCACCTGACTTCTGTCCACCTCATACCCCCTGGGGACCTGCACTTCTCTTAGTTCATGCCAGCCACCCCCCCCATGTGTTCACAGACTTTGACCAACTTCAGAGGAAGGCAGATGCCAAGCGAAGAGACTGGAAGCGAAAACAGGGTAAGGGCTGCCAGGTGAAGGTCAAAGGCCTCAGCCACCAAAGATTCTCCATCAGGAGAACGACTGGCCTAGGGGTAAAGGGGACCCTACCCCCACCCCAGAGAGGCCCACTGAGATTCAGTCCACCTCTCTCCCGATGCCACATCAAACCAGCACTTGCCGGGCTGGGGATTTAGCTCAGTGGTTTCGCTGCCTGCCTTGAAAGCACAAGGACCGGAGTTCGATCCCAGGCACCAAAAGAAAAAAAAAAAAAAACCAGCACTTGCCCAACCCCAGACCCCACCCGGGCCACATCTGGATCTTGCGGGGCGGGGGAGGCCCTACTATGTACCCCAGGCTGGCCTCGAACTCTCACCAATCCTCCTGCCTCTCAAGTGCTGGAATTACAGGCTTGCGCGACCACACCCCGCTCACATCTGGATTTTAAACCCAGTGTGGTCTTTAGCCACCTCCTTTCTGGCTGGATTCCCGCTTCTGGCCACCAGGTGGCTCCCCCTTTAACCTGGGGCGCTGACAGGTGGACGTGTTTGTTTTGGACCTGCAGGTCCCTACTTCCAGGAACCTTTGCAGTGGAAGGTCACCGAGGACTGCCGAGTGCTACTGACATGCAAGGCGAGTCCCCACCCCACCTCCAGCCTGCAGCTTGCCCTGCTGGCCGTCCCTCCCCACCCCACCCCCCAAATTCCATCCCCAGTGTTTGGCTGATCTACGTGGAAAGTGGCAACAGAATTCGGGAGGTGGGTCACCCTTGAGCTCGATCCTCCGAAGGCATCCAGTGGGCTGGGGTGCCTGGGAGCCAGCAAGGGGTCTGTATGTGGATGGGTCTGCTGTGTGTATTGTCAACACTGCTCAGTGCGTCACAATAGTTTTTGTTTTGTTTGGTTTGGTTTGGTACCGGGGATCTTGCGCTTTCAAGGCAGGTGGTGGCACCACTGAGCTAAATCCCTGGCCCCACAATAGTATTTCACTTCATGCACCTGCCCATCCTCTGTGAGATATGCATTGTTATCATCACTTCACGGATGAGAGGGCAAATGGGGAAATCCTTCCAGACCACAGACAGGGGCCAGGTGTTAACCAAGTCAGCCTGACTCCAAAGCCTCCAGGCTTTCCCAGCACCCTGCAGCCTCTTAGATAACTGGGGAGGGACAGGGTCAGTGGGTGGGTTACCCGCCCAGGATCAGATTCATTCAGTGAACTCAAAGCACCTACTAAGCACCAGATACTGGGCACATGAGGATGCTTTCCTTAGGCTATGAAAGCCCATCATCCAAGGCAGGATCATTGGAAAGCAGGATGCCTCCTGTTCAATCAGATTGTGCAGGAAATTGATTAGTCACAGTGGGAGGGGGCTGAGGCAGGAGGAAGTGCCATCTGGGTCTAAGAAGTATAGGCATGGGCTGAGGGGTATACAGAAGGCCCTGTGTTCACCCCCAGCACTGGGTGGGGAGTAGACATTTACAAGGGAAACAGAATGGGGAAGGGTCAGGGCACCAGAGGGACCATGGGTGGGGTCAGCCAGGCTCCTTTCTGAGTGTGTGTGTGTGTGTGTGTGTGTGTGTGTGTCCATGGGGGTGGAGGGAGTCATGTTTGTAACAGGAAGTTGTGATGAGCTGAGTTTTTACTTAAAAAGAGACAGCCAGATAGAGTCCTTCACATCCTACTTCCCTCAGGTGACCAACACCAAGAAGGAGACTCGCTTCCAATGGTTCTTCCAGAAGAGAGAGGCGCCCGATGGTCAGTACGACCCACAGACCGGAGAAGGGCTTATTTGCATTGAGGAGGTAAATGCACTTCCAGCCCAGGGCTCACACCCTCATCATTGGCACACCAGGCTTGCCTGGAGCCCTGGGCTGAGAGTCCAGAGCAGGGCAGGGACTTGGGTGAGGCAAGCAAGACACTCACCCTGGGGCACAGTTTAAGGAGCACCAGAAACACAATAATCAAGATAAACAATAGTTTGTGTGGTATTTGTGTTTGTTTTTTTTTTGGTACTGGGGATCGAACTCCGGACCTTGTGCTTGAGAGGCAGGCGCCGGAACCACTGAGCTAAATCCCCAGCCCGATTGTTCAGTATTTGTAAAGAATCAAAACTAATGCCCCCAAAAAGACCATGAAAAAAAAAAACACCAATATTTCCCACAAAGACCAAACCAGTATTGCTGCTTGGGCTCCCTGCCTGAGCTGTCCCTCTCTGACCTCATCCATAAAATGAGCAGCTTGAAAAGGGTGCACTCTGGATAATTCTTCCTGCGCCAACAGCACAGGGTTGCAGACTGGAAAGGTATCTGCATATCAGGCAGTTCTGAGCAGAGCGAAGTGCCCTAGAGCTCAATTCTCCACCCACATCCCCCACCCAGGGCCTTCAGAGGAGAGAAGCACAAGGCTTGCTTGTTCCTGTCCAGTCCATGTTTCTCTGCCCTGACACTGATTCCCATGGCCTCTAGGGGTCTGGAGCAATCTAGCTTGCCCAAATTTCCACAGCTATTAAGAAGACAATAACAGGCTGGGGATATAGCTCAGTGGTTTCGCCGCCTGCTGTGCAAGCACAAGGACCCAAATTCAATGCCCAGTACCAAAAAAAGAAGACAATAACAATTTCAGGGTCTTCTCCAAATCCTGGCCAGGACAATGCCATGTCAGCCTGGTGCCACTGGGCAAGCCCCTCAAATAGGGTATGGCATTGAGTAGGTGCTTAATCATTGTGGGGTACCCACTGGTACAGAGTTTCCAGCTTTCTGAAGTTCGTCACCCCTTGGCCCCGCGTCACCAGCAGCAGGTGGTCAGAAAAGGACAATGCTGCCACTTTATAGATGAGTACACTGAGGCTGGGTGGGGGGAGAATTCGAGGACACAGAGCTAGAGAATGGGTCAGAAGTCACTCCAATCACCCGCCTCCAGGATGCTGGGACTTTGGGGCCTTTAGTGCATGGAGGTAAGGAAGACAGACACAGGAAAGGATCAGTGGAATGCAGCCCAAGTTAAGAGCTGCCTCTACCTTGAGTACTGCCCCCAGACTCACTATGTAGCAATGCATAGGTCAGAGGGGCCTTTGAGGGGACAGGAAGGCAAATAATACTCCCAGGCGTGAAGAAGGGGCCATGTAATGAGAGACATCTACTTCTGCCCTCAGTCTCCTCTTTCCCCAGGCCCAGACCAGCCTTGAGCTAGAAATCAACAGGCTCTGAACTGGCTGGAACCCAGAGGAGTAAACTGAGCCCCAGGGAGAGAAGGGCCTTCCTTGAGGTCACATAGAGGGCACGGCCCTCCTGACCTGGCATCTCTCCTTCTGGAACTCATGCTGATGCTGCCATCTCTCACCCTCCTTTCCAGCTGTCCAGGGAGAACAAGGGACTCTACAGAGCAGTGGTTTCTGATGACCGTGGCGAGGACGACACCATCCTGGACCTCACAGGTGAAGGTAGGAGATGGTGATGCTGCGAAGGGCCTGGAGGGCTGAGAGGGGTCAATCTGGAGCAAGAGACTGCAGTGTGACCTGGGGGCAAGATCTATGGACTCCCCCATCACTTGGGGACATTGAGGCACAGAGGGATTAAGTGACTTGCCCAAGTTGCACAGCTCAGCAGTGTGGGACTGTGGGGTGTGACTCGGAGTGTGTGACTGTGACACCTGTCCACTGCAGTAAACCCTCTGGCCCAAAGCCTGCACCCACCCCTCTGCTCTGCCCATCAGCCTGGTTGGCTCAGCCTGCAAGAGAATCATGAGGTTGGCCCCTCTGAGCACCATCACTGCGTGCCCCACATGTCCCCCACTCTGCAGTCGTCCTGCAGGGCTCCCTGTGCCCCAGGTGGCTCCACCAGCCTTTTCTAAGGACGCCCCCACCCCTGAACTTGCCCAGGGAAGCCCACAGCAGCTGACCTTTCTCTGTCTCCCTCCAGCCCTGGATGCCATCTTCACTGAGCTGGGCAGGATCGGTGGTAAGCAAGTCTGCCTTGCCCAGCCCTACCCCAAAACCAAAGAGCCTCATGAGGCCTCCCCCTGCCTGGGCTGCCAGGGGTGGGTCTGTGTCGAGCTTCGGTGACTGGAAGAGAAGCTCCTGCCTCCCCACAGAGCTGTGTCCCCACCACACCGCCCCTCAGAGCAGGAGTGAGCAGGTTGGCCCCAAAACATGCTGCCCAGAGGGGCTTGGGAGAGATACCTTTCTCCTCTGCCTCTGCAGCCCTCTCTGCAACTCCACTGAAGATTCAGGGGACTGAGGAGGGCATCCGGATCTTCAGCAAGGTCAAGTACTACAACGTGGAGTACATGAAGACCACCTGGTTTCACAAGTAGGTCAACCTTACCCACAGAACTCCCTGCTTCCCCCACCCAGTCCTCCCGGTAGAGACCAGTCCCAGGAAGTTGGCATGGATGAAGGTTTCACACCAGTTCTACTGTCCACAGTCAGAGTAGGCGATAGGGATCTGCAGTCAGAGGAGTAGAAATCCGATGGGAATTGTGTTGTGTTGACCTGGAATACCTGCATCCTCAGAACGATCATGATCTCAGAGCAGCATGGGGAAGTGGCAGAGGGAGGGATGCAAGAACAAAGAAGAACCGGGAGGTCCAGTGGATCATGGTGCTAGTGGGCCTCTGCAGCCCTAGCAAACTCAGAACACCAGGAATAGGGAAGAGATCCAAAAAGAAGGACCTGTGGGGCTGACAACCAGCTGAAGGTCAGGGCTGGGATGTATCCACAGAGATGCAGTCTGGAGCTCAGTCACCCCAGATGGTTTGAGGGTGCAATTTTCCCCAGGCTCCTTATCATATGCTTGCTTCAGCCTCATGCAGCAGTTGCTGCTGCACCCATTCTGCAGACTGATTTGGTCAAAGTGTAACAAATGAGGCAGAGCCAAGGCCAGAGAGAATTTGACAATGGGGCTCCTTTGGTAGCCAGTTTCTGAGCCCTGGCAACAGGCTGGGGGAACAGAACACTGGGACATGTGCTAGGTGTTTTTGGAAGTGCAATTTCAGTGATAAAGGGAAAGACTTCAATCTGACTGTATTTTTTTCCTAACAGTTAACAGAGGATTGAAGGAAGGAACCCTGGGAGGGTTTAAAAAGAGGATGAAGAGGAGAGGAAATGGTTCTTGAGGGTGGAGGGAGCAACTGTCACTGCCTCTCTGTACTATTTTCTTGGGGTCCCACCCCTCAGGACACATGACAATTGTAGCACTTGTGCATAGTTGAAATGCCACAGATTTAATGAATGAATGAATGAATGAATGAATGGAGGGCTGAATGGTGAGTGAGTACCTGGATGATGAATGGGGCGTTGGTTGAATAATGAATGATAAGTACATGGATAGCATCAGATGTCTACCCCGAGAGAGGAGCCCCGGCGAAGATCATACATAGACCTGCAGCCGCCAACCTTGACCCCTTCTCTGCCGCTGCACTCAGAGACAAGCGCCTGGAGAGCAGCGATCGGATCAGAGCAGGCACCACCCTGGACGAGATCTGGCTGCACATCCTGGACCCCAAAGACTCAGACAAGGGCAAATACACCCTGGAAATAGCTGCTGGGAAGGAAGTCCGGCAGCTCTCAGTGGATCTCTCAGGGCAAGGTGAGCCATCCACCTGTCTGTCTGCTCAGAAACCTATTCAGAAAATCCCACAGTCTATTGGGGGGACTCTCTTCTCCCCACCCAACCCTGTCACTGCCCCAAGAGAAACTGGAATGGGGAAGAGAATGGAGGACAGTTGGGGCTGAGCCCCTGTCCCTGGGGTTGCACTGCAGAGACCCGATTCTCCACACCACCTTTTCCTTCTCACAGCTTTTGATGATGCCCTGGCCGAACACCAGAGACTGAAGTAAGTTTCCTCCACATCTCTCAATGCACAGCATACCCTCCCCCAAACCTGTGGCCTGATCTGTGCTCAAGACCCCCTCCTGGGTGCTCCACCCCACCCACACCGGGGCAGGCAGGGCAGTCCTTGTACAAACGGAACCCACACCTCCTTCCCATTTCTGTTTTTCAGAGACTTGGCCATCATTGAGAAGAGTAAGACCCCATGTTTCTGTGGTTTGGCTTCTGGTTTTGGGTGGGCATCTGTGGAGCTCAAACCCCCTGGAGGTCTCCTAAAGTCCCAGATCCTTGCTTGGTAGGGTCTGAGGGGCTTGGGGGCTGAACAGGGCTGCTGGGGAGACCTGGGAAGTGGCAGTGTGAAGATGGATGGACAAGGAGTTCCAGGAACTTGAGGTCATGGTGGTGGATGAGCCCAGTGTGGTGCTGAACCAGCCCACAGCTGTGGGACCTGAGGCAGAGCTCAGAGAGGAACGAGGCTGGGCTGGCCTTTCCATGTAAGCTGGGGGGGGGGGGGTTGCTGTCAAACTGAAGCTGAGGCTGTCAGAGCCCTGGGGTCTCTTCTTCTCCAAGCAGCCCCAAGCCCAGAGGGACCTGGCATGGCTTCTGAGCTGCCAGGGAAGGCACCACCCAGTCTATGAGCTCAAGCTGGTCCTGACCATCAGGTCCTCAGCCAGATCTATGTGACCCAGTGCTGGGAGCCTGGCCTCATTGTCTTGCCGGCCAGTGATGGGAAGCAGGCACTTCAGTGAAGGAGAGGCCTGGGCAGCAGAGCATGGAAGCCCTGCCAGCCTGACCACAAGAAAGGAGGCTGGATGGCTATGAGAAATGGAGAGAAGCACTGAAAGGCTGCCAGCACAGAGGCAACTGAGCTCATCCCCACACACCATCACTTTCCCCTGGTGCCCCCACTTGACAGGAAGTACAGGCCTTGAGTTCCTAACTGGCTGGGACAAGCGAGAGGTCTCAATGACTATTCAAGGAGAAGCCCTTGCAGGATCAAAGGAGCCTCAGCCTGCTCCTCCTGGAGGAGCTGCTCACAGCACAACCTTAACCACTTACCCAGCACAAATGTCCCCTCGTATCCTGGAACACATGTCCCTAGACAGGGTGCTCTGTCTAGGACCCTAATTGTTGAACTCACCAACATGTGATTGCTGGGCTTGTAGAATCAGACCCAGTGAAGGAGGTGGATCAGTGCAAGTGAGGAGCGCCTGGCAAATATCCCTGGCCTATCCATCCATCCTTGGGCCTTCCCTGTGGATTCCGGATCCTGCTCCCCTTCCGTGCACTGGATGCCATCCACAGCAGGCTTTGCACTTCCAGATGCAGAGCCCTGGGGCGTACTGAGCACCTCTTCCCTTCCCTTGGCCTCCATGGGAACACAGGGAACACAGTGAGCTTTCTGCTTAGTGATTCACAGCCACACTCTTCCTGCCCACCCACAGTGGCCACCTGGCCCTTCCTTGGATCCGAGACCTTTCTTCTTGGTTCCCTCTCTTAGCTGGCTGATCAGTGGGTGTTGCCAGTTTAAGTTCAGAGCAATAGTATTTGCCTTTTTTCTGTGTTTTTGAGGGCAGGGGCACCTCATTGTCACCCCCTGGTACTGCCCATCACAGTGACCTCAGATCGGTGGCAGAAACACAGCATGTCCTATGTCTTCTACTTGTAAAGACAAGGAAGCAAATAATAGTCTTAAAGATTTCCATCAAAAATGGTGAAAATTGAAGGAAGTCTTGCTTAAAAGTAAATCTCAGCCCTAGGGAGACCTGCTCTGGCAGGAAAGCATTTATGATTGGCCTCTCATTTCCCTTCCAGATCGCGCCAAGGTAGTGAGGGGCCTGCCAGATGTGGCCACCATCATGGAAGACAAGGTACCAACCCCACTGGCCAAGCCAGAAGTCCCCTCATTGTTCTTGGGATCCACCCTGGGTCATTCTAGGTCTGTGGCCAGAGGAGCTAGAGCTGCCAAATGACCACACATCACTGACTGTGTATCAGGGAAAGCCACAGAGCCTGGGTGTGGCGGCACACACATAGTGCCAGCACTCAGGGGGCTAAGGCAGGAAATCACTGTGAGTTTGAAGCCAGCCTGGGCTACACAGTGAGTTCAAGGCCAGCCTCAACTACATAGCGAGACTCTATCTGAAAAAACAAACAAAAAAATCACAGCTACTGTTTTTATGGTGCTGTCTTTGTGCCGGGCCTTATTCCAACGACATAGTGCAACGCCATGAAAAGGAGTATTACTAATCACACTGTCTAGGTGAGAAAACAGACCCAGAGTGGTGAAGGGGTTTGCCTAAGGTCACAGAGCCTGAAGGCATAGAGCTGAGATCCATACTCATGCAGCCCAATCCTGGAGCCTGTGTTTAACCATTACACTCTAGTGCATTAGAACTTGTTTGAGAATTTTCCAACACACTTCATACATTTGTGTGCTAAGGCAATATAATCCTACTTGCAAAAATAAAAACATAATGATCTATGTATGACAAAAAGCAATAAAGCAGTATGCAGGCCATCCTAGGACAGGTAATTGCTAGAATGAGGATGGCCTAAAATGCCAAAGAGTATTTCTATAGAAAGGTTGAGGATAGGGCCAGGGATTTAGCTCAGTGGTTCCAGCGCCTGCCTCGAAAGCGCAAGGTCCCGGGTTCGATCTCCGGTACCAAAAAAAAGGTTGAGGATGGAGAATATGGGGTTAAAATAAAAGGCCCCTTCTATGGCCCCTTGTATTTAACCCCAGGAGCTGCCTGTAGTGGGAGGCTCTGGGCCATGAAAGTGAGTGCCAAGGTCAAGTTACAAGGAGGTAAGACTGTTCTCTTCTTGTCCATTGAAACAGACCCTGTGCCTGACCTGCGTCATCTCAGGAGACCCCACCCCTGAGATCTCTTGGCTGAAGAATGATCAACCTGTCACCTTCCTTGACCGCTACCACATGGATGTGAAGGGGACAGAAGTGACCATCACCATCAAGAAGGTCAACAGTGAGGACAGTGGGCGTTATGGTGTCTTTGTCAAGAACAAGTATGGCTCCGAGACGGGCCAGGTCACTATCAGTGTGTTCAAACATGGGGATGAGCCCAAGGAGCTAAAAAAGATGTGATGGGCATGTCCTGGCACAGCCTGAGATCCAGTCTGCAGGAACAGCAGGACCAATCAGTGGGTCACAGCCTGGTATGGGCCAAGGGGCAGGTAGAGGGAAGGGGACAGGGTGGGACCCAGGACATGAAGGTAGGAGTAGAGTGATGCACTAAAGGAAGAAGCAAAGCTCTGGCTAGAGTCCTAAGAGGGCTCCAGCATGGCCAGGTGAGAGCTGCACTTGGAATAGGAAACTTAGATGTGAGACTCAATTTCCATTAGGCTCTTCAAAGCCTTGCCTTTCTCATCATCAGACAACCATCCCTACAAATCCCTAGGGATCATCTGCAGAAGTTCCTTGTAATCCATATTCAGATGCTTCTCCACAGGCGGCAACTTCACTCTGCAGAGGACATTTGACAGTGTTGATATTTTGGGTGTCACAACTGGAGGTGTCCACTGGCATCTAGTAGGTCAAGACCAAGTGTGTTGCTGTACACTACAGCTCTCCCTGCATAGAATTATCCAATCTAAGATGTCGCTAAACCCCGCCATAAACCAGTATATCCCAATCCTCCTCTTTTAGGATATGATCCTTTCAGTTCACATAAGTTCAACATTCATTTGAAGTCTAGCATGTAGCCAGGAAGAGTAGGGCACATCTGTAATCTCATCACTTGGAAGGCTGAGGCAGGAGGATCACTGTGAGTTCAAAGCCAGCCTAAACCACAAGGTGAAACCCTGTCTTAAAAAACAAATAAACAAACCAAAGTCTAGCACATGCTAGGCTGAGGACAGTACTAGAAATAATTCAAAGATAAATGTTACACAGGCTGGTAGGGTTACCAAACTGGGTACAAATGACTCCAGGACAAGGCAGGATAAGAATTATAAAATAGGTCCAAGTAAAGTGCTACTAGTGGTCAGAGAAGAGAGACAATTGGTCATCCCAACTGGGAGGAGGTAGGGCTTTGAAACTCCTTCCCACCATGGGCAGAGTTGGTGTGGGCCCTGAAAAATGAGTCCAGTATAGCTGTGAAGATGGGACAAGGGCCCTTTGGGAGTGGGCATAGCGAGAGCAAAGGCAAGGAGAGGCGTGCAGCTGCTCAGGCAGCCTGGGGCACCAGGCTTGGAACTGATGACCTTCCTGGCTGCTTGCAGAAGGGGCCTCTGCCTAGTGTGACAGGCACTGGTTGGCCTTGCTTGATGGATCTCAATACAGAGCCAGGCATTTCCCTGCTCTCCAATTTCTTTCTTTTAAAAACTAAGGTTGGGAAAAAAATAAAAATTACCAAAAAAAACCCGTTAAGGTTGGAGGGCAGATTATAGAATTACAGATATTTGTTGTGAAAATTTTAGAAAACCCTGGAAAGTGTAAGGGAGAAAATAAAAATCATCTGTACTCCCAACATCAGGAGGTAACACCTGCCTCTGCTTTCTGAAATGAATTCCAAACTGAAGGATAAAATGATTCTGTCCTCCACCCACCACCATCACGTGGTGGATAACTGGTAAACCACAGCAGCACTCCTGGGCTACATGGTACTCAGTGAGACCTCTGGTGGGGAGTCTGGGGAACCATGCAGGTCTTGAAGGCAGACACCCCTAGCTTGAAACAGCTTCTGGCCATCCACTCACCATAGGATTTACACAATACATGTTCATTTGCTGGGCCTCAGTTTCCCACCTATAAAACATGAAGGCCAGAAGATCATTTTGTGAGCCTTTTCAGCTGCCACTAAGGTTTTTTTTACTTCCCATAACCCCATTCTTCTTTGCTTTTCCCTTCCCACAAACATGCAGTAAGAAAAGACTCCATCTTAACCTACCCTCACAGTCTTGGCTTCTTTCCTGTGTCAGTGAAAAATATCCCAGGTTTCAGTGACACTGGAAAGCCTGTTGGCCATGGTGAAGTGTGATGTGACTGGCCCTGTTTGCCAGGATTGTGTTTACACTTTGAACCTACTACAGGCAGCTCCTGAGGCTGCACCTGCTGGGAGCTTCCTCATAAGGTGACAAGACCCTTGGGAAGCAGGAGCTGGTCTGCACTCTGCTGTACCAGAGCCTGTAGCACATTAATCTTGGGGCTTAAAAAAATTCCAGGTCTGCTAATTTCAATATCCATGGCGTATCTGAATCCACTTCTGACTCTTGCTTTGTCTCTTCAAAGTAAGTTTTGCCTTTCAGTACCCTGATAACTGGCACACATTCTCTAGCAGGTAAAGGCATCTGTGATAAGCAGGCCCTGGGTCTAGGATGAGGTGCTGGGGGAAGGGAGGCACTCTGTGGTCTGTGCTTAGGACTCAGGCTTTCATGAGCCTGCAACCTGGGTTGTATAAGGCCTGCACCATGCCTCTTGAGGTTTTCTTTTCCTGCGGCCTAATGTAACGTCTGGGGAGGGTTTACACTATGCCATGCAATGCCACACAGTAGTGTCCGGGTGGACAGCAACCCACTGCTCTGTGGGAACACGCAGCTCCCGGTGACCCCAAACCCAGCGTCAATGAAGAACTAAAGAAGCAGTTGACACAAAGAGAAGACAATTTACTTGAAGATGGGGAAGGAGGAAAAGAGAGGTGACAGAAGGGCCAGGGATTTAGCTCAGTGGTTCCACCATCTGCCTCCAACGCGCAAGGACCTGAGTTCTATCCCCAGTACCAAAAAAAAAAAAAAGATGACAGAAAGCTACTCTGGAGGAATAGGAAGAATTTGAGAAGTGAATTGCTCATGGATTTCTTGTCTGCAGCTCCTTTTATTGAGAACTTTGTCCCACGTAGGATCCTGGAATCTGGCTCCCTGACCTTAGATTTCTTCCAGCCCTGTGACCTTTCCCTGTCCTTTGGTGAAGGGTAAGAGTATGGATGATTATGGGCTGATAGTCTAAGCTAAAAAATTAAGCAAAAGGGAAGTTTGCCATTCTAGGAATTTCCCAGTCCTTTGTCTTCCTAATTGCTTGAGTCCAGCTGCCTTTGCCCTTCTAATTGCTGGAGTCTGGCTGCAGAGGTCAAAACTGGCCTATTGGCCAGGGATTTAGCTCAGTGGTTCCACCGCCTGCCTTGCAACCACAAGGACCCGAGTTGGATCCCTGGTACCAAAAAAAAAAACAAAAAAAAAACTGGCTTATTGGGACCAGGAATTTAGCTCAGCAGTGCTGCACCTGCCTCACAAGCACAAGGTCCTGAGTTCAATCCCCAGTACCAAAAAATAAAGCTGACTTATTAATTTTTAATAAAGCTCAATGAGGCCTTCATCCTATCTTTTCCCTACCTACAATACCTCCTGTCCCTACACTAAGGTGGGACAAGGCAACTAGAGAGGCTGGAGGGAGGTTAAGTAGTTTCCCCTCCTCCACAGAGTAGGCTCTGGTGAAACTGTCCTCCCAGGTCAGGCTTTGCTAAGAAGACTAGATGGCTGTAGTGTACCTCAGAATGGTTACTTTTCTCCTCCCCTTGCTGGAAGCCTCAGAAGATTTTCCTCTGATCTTCACTGTGAGAATTTGGGTCAGTTCTTGACAGTAAAACTCACAAAAGCATGGGGGCCTTCTGACTTGTCCTCTCAGAGCCTTCAGAGGTTCCTCAGTTGTAATTCCGGATCTCCAGCCCAGCACTGGTTCTGGATTAGGTCTCTGCTCCAAGAAGCTGAGATTCTGTGTAGGTACCTGTCTGTCTCTCCAATGTGGGGACAGCCATGTGCCCTGGGCCCTTGCTTCTCTGACAGGTGGATCTAAGAAGAATAGGTGATTTCTAAGCTTGCTTGGATTTTACTTACTAGGATGGAGTGATAACTTTCAAATTCCTTAGTTGCCAAATCAGAAACCAGAAGTCCTGCTATTGAGGTGCTAGGTAGGATTTTGGGGGCCAGGGAGATAGAGGTGTTGTGCCCAGATCGCAAAGTCCCCAAAGACCACCAAGGAGCCGATTCTGATGCAAACACATGAGGGTCGTTTATTCAAGCTCGAGCAGGGACTCTCAACCGTCGCCGACGCAGCGGGTCAGGATTGAGAGCCCCTAACTCCAAACCAGCAGGGGTTTTTATAGGGGTTACAGCAAGGTTCGGGGAGTTCCAGTTTGGAAATTACATGATTGGCTTGTACATAGCAATTTTGAATGTTTAAACCTGATTGGCTGTGCCTCGCAGGCCAAACTGCAAACGGTTGCTCAAGCCATCGAAAAGAACATCTGGGACATTGGGGTATTGGGGTAACTACTGATTAGCTGTTGCTAGGGGACTGCTGAACATTATCACAGGCAGATGGTCAAAGTACATCTTGTGGTTTTTCTTGGAACTGGAGTTTATGTCCAGGTCACCTTATTTTAAGATGGAGCCAAATTTTAAAATGGAGTTGCTTAGGTCTCACAGAGGTGCCTGAGATCTCTCACTGTGTGTCTCTCAGCTCTTCCCACCTAATCCCAAGTACCACTGAGATGAGTGAGGGTAGGGAATGAGGGGGAACCCCACTAAAGGATATGAATCACCAACCTCCCCATGGGATCTTTTCCATCTTCAGATATTCTGTCTTTCTTGAGCCCAGGGAAGGTGGCAGTGGTGCACTATGGTCCCGGGAAGCCACCCTCCCACCCTTACCTCATTCACACTCAACAGCCTGGAACCCTGGCTTCCTTTCCATCTTACTTTCTCCTTCCCAACATGTTCCCAAGGGCCTATGTTGCTGCATCCTTGCTTTATTAAAAACTAAAGCAAATGTATAGGAAAAAAAGCTTTAATTGGAAAGTTAGAGGGAAGATAGGAGGACCGGTGATTTAGCTCAGTGGTTCCACCACCTGCCTTGCAAGCACAAGGTCCCGAGTTTGATCTCCAGTGCCAAAACTCATTAGAGGGAAGATAGGCAAGATCCCCTGCTTAAGTAGTTGGAGAGGGCACATTCTGATACAAGAGTTCAGTTGGCCCACCCAAAAAGGCTGGAGACCAGTTTTCAAGGGTTAGCTGGCAGGCTGCTGTCTGGTTGATCATTATCTCAGGCCTGGTGTCACAGCGCTGAAATCCTCATACCTAAGGCATGGTTCCATTTCCGGGAGAGGACTGCCTCTGTAGTGGTTTCAGTCATATGGGACTTTGCCTTTCCTGGAATCCAAGTGATCACAGGTTCAGGACAATGACTGGAAGCTTCTGAGTGTAGCTGAATGTCTTTGTAAACCTCTTATCTTGGTGTCCTCAGTCTTAAAGAAGGATGAGATCATGCAAGTTCAGGAGGATCAACACTGTCTGGCCAGCTCCTGGACAGACACTCCCTAAATGATCAGCATGCCCCTGTGTGGAGCTCAGAAGAGACCTGACCCAAGATTTATGGTAACCAAAGGATACAAAATGGTCAGGCTTTGTTCTGCTTTTCATTACCTATTGGGCATCTGCATGCCCAAGTAAAGAGTCATGGTTTATGATAAAAATGCCTTTTAAGTCACTGACTGTCCCAGCAGAAAGCATAAACCATATTTTTAATAAGTAGCAGGTCAGGGCCCAGGTTCTGCCTGTGTTCCATCCCTATGGTCGTATCTCTGTCGCAACTGCCTCACTCCCACACCCACTCCTTACCCTATCTACTTTTCAGTATCCTCCTCCCTCAAGCCGTGCTATTTCCACTATAGCTACACTTCCTGTTTGCTCTTCTATTATTCCTTTTCTGGCTCAGCCTTGGAAGCATTTCACTTGGTCCAGCCTGATCCCTGGTACCCTGTGTGGGACACAGGAATTCTGAAACTTTGCCTCTCTTATCTGGCAGAATCCATCAGCAAACACACAGGCTCCACTCTCCAGGACCCATCCACGGATGTTCAGCTTGCTGGTCTTCCAGAGAGCCGGGGCTGGATGCGCAGATGGGGGGCAGGCCAGCAAGCCAGTAGGGTTCCCCTCTACCACACCACTAGCCACTCTGACCCCACAGCCACAATGCCACCTTTCAGAGCCCAACCCCAGAGCACTGCTTGGCCTAAGCATTGAGAGCATTAGACATGAAATGCACAGGAACGGGAATCCTGATGGGAAATGACTGGCTGTCTAATCATTAGTTAACTCTACCTCAGCCAGGGCTCCAGTCAGATGCTTTCAATCCTTAAAAAAATTCCAGATAGCTTCAAGCAACTTGAGTGTTATTTTTCACACCAAAAATAGCTTCAGAAGCAACATTCCCCAGATGTCTCTAGCTAGCAGGAAGTCAGATATTTGATTTTCAGCATTTGAGAAAAGTATGACTTCTGAGGCTGGAGGCAGTTCACTGAAGGAGTGCCTCAGCTAAGGGCAAACAAATCACACAGTCTGGGAGGAATGTGCCCCTCCTCGCCTGTGCCTCCCAGAAATCCACAAGCCCCGGCTGATTTTTACACCATCGCTTCCTGTACTAGCAGATCTAAGGGAATAGACACACAGGGCCACATAACAGCTGTTTTCATTCCAT